CACACACACACACACACACACACACACACACACACACACACGGGTGTCGGTGAGTGCTCTGAAGGACAGACAGCAGATGGAGGGGATCCAGTAAGGACTAGAGGTCAGGCTACTGAGCTGGGGCTCCCAGGAGGGGGCTTGAGGTGACATTTAGGAAGGTGCCTAGGTGGCGGCTGTGCTGGGTGAGGGCCAGGTGAGCCGAGCGAGCAGGGAGGGGTGGGAGGTGAGGGCAGAGGTGGGGCTCAAAGCTGCAGAATCTGGCTCCTATCGTGTATAGGCTGGAGCCACCGGTGGGTAGTGAGCTGGGAACAAGATGAGGGCACAGAGCCCCTGAGTTGGGACGGGGCAGACAGTGGGGGGCCAGGAAGACAAACTGGAGATGGTCAGAGAGATGGGGATTGGGCGGTCTTCAAATGGGAGGCCTGGGGAGTGGGGCAGGTAGCTGATGTGAGTGAGAAGGGAAATCAAGCCAAGAGGCTAAGAGGGGAGGGCTGTAGGGAGATGGTATCACATCTAAAAGCTACCGGAGGCTGAGGCGGGGCAGTTGAGGAATCAGCCCTGGCCAGGGTCCAGCAGGGGGCCCTTCCGCTCATTCAGCAAACACTGGCCTGGGTCCTACTGGGTGCAGGGGCACAGGGCAGGAAGCTGGGACCTGGCTGGTGGAGGCCTCTGCTCTCCTGGGGGCTGACAGAGCGGAGGTGGACACCACCAGGGGCCCTGGGAGCAGTGCTGGGCAGTCTTGTTCCTGGCTGGGGCCCCAGTAGGCCAGGGAGTGGTGGAGGTGCCAGGTCACTGTGGCTGCATGGATGGCTCAGGTGCCCTGGGATCAGCCCTCTCAGGGCTCCTAGGTCACAGGTGGACACAGGGAGCAGCATGCTGGCTTGATCAACATTTGAGGGTTCAGTCTGGGTGAGGGGAGGGCCAAAGGGTGTATGGAGAGGTAGGTAGGATGGGGGTACAGGGAGGCTGCCAAGTTCAACTTTCCCTGGGGTGAGGATGGAGTGGGGGAGAGGTGGAGGCTTAGCCAGATACTCCTGCTGGGGCTCCCGGGTCTGCTGTGGGCCGCCAGACCCAGCTTGGACTTTGAGGGGCAAACTGGGTCTCTGCTCTGAGCCTGTGCCCCATCTGGAGTCCTAGACCCATTTCCCACCCAGGCCCGAGCTTCAGTGTGGAGAGGAGCTGCACCTGAGGGTGCTTGGGGTAAATGGAGGGTGGGAGGAAGCCTGCGGCTAGGGGTCAGGGGGCCTCCCCCCAGTGATGGACTCCTTGACGATGCTCTATGGCTACCTCTGCCTCAGGCCCGCCAGCTCAGGCAGAGCTGCGCCCCAGAATCCTGGCTGGGCCCCTCGCCCTTGAACCTGCAAAGTGGGGCTTGCATTGTCCTTCCATTCCAGAATGCCAGGGGGAAAGAGCATCGGAGCCCCCACCTTTGAGATTAACAGTGGCCATCCTTTTAGGGGTCTCAAACTCAAAATGACTTCGGGGGCCACGCAGGTACCCTAAAATGAGTGAAGTTGGTGTCTGACAGCTGTGAGAACCAGGGCTGACCAGAAAGGGTGACTTTAGAGAGAACTCCCTATGGTACACCACAGAGCCAGATTTTTCCTGTCTTTGGCGGGGTGCCCTCTGGCTGCATTTGGCTGGCTCTCTGTTCAGGGGAGAGAGCTGCATTTTCCCTTCTCTGACAGGTTTCTGCCTGGCACAGGCTGAAGCTTTTGCAGGTGTTCAGCCAGGTGCAATGGTTCTGAGCCCCGGCTTCCCCTGCTGTATGGGGCTTCCAGTCACCCTGATCACTGTGGCCACTCTGAGGTGTCCGACCAGGTCTGGGGCCCCAGGGGCTCACCTGAAAGCCCAGGCAGCGGCCGTAGAAGCAGCCCTTGTGCAGCGTGACGTACTCGCGCAGGAAGTCGGCGCTCAGCCCCTCGTCGCCCTCAAAGAAGAGCACCCCCGGCTGGTTGGCGGCCAGCAGGCGTTGGGCGTAGTAGGTCAGGGCGCGGAGCTGGGTCAGTGCAGCCAGGTAGGCCTCCAGTTCCGCCAGGTTGTGGCTGGCGCGGAAGAAGATGCTGCGGCGGTTAGCGGCCACATAGCGTGACTTGTGGAGGAGGTGGGCCAGGCAGCAGCGGGTGGTGTGCACCAGGCTGCGGTACCCGTTGGCAGGCGTCTCGGAGTCCAGGTCAAAGAGGTGCGCCACACCCAGCAGGCGGCCCAGCGCCGGCAGGACCCCCAGTGCCTGCTCCCGGACACCTGTAAAGACGGCCAGCAGCCGCCGCACTGTCTCTCCAGGGCCCTGGCTGGCGAAGAAAGCTATGTTGTCTTCTGCCAGAGACACCAGCGCCTGGGTCATGGTGTGCAAGTCCATGCCGAGAGTGAGCCTGGAGGCTGCGGGCAAAAGGGGAAGCCTGTGAGGCAGGGCTGGATCATTCTGCTGGGGCCTGGGGGCCCAGGAGCTTCCTTTTAAGACCCGGGAGCCCTGGCCCCCAGCTCCCCTTCCCTCAGACTCAGGAGTCCTAGCCTCAGCCGCTCCTTCCTCCAATCCAGGGGTCCCAGGCTCCAGAGCCCTCTTCCCTCTAACCCAGGAGGTTACCTGCCTGTCTCCAAAACCTGAGACCTTAGGACCCCCTCCCCTTGCTTCCTCATGACCCATGAGCTTAGATCCCAGACCCTTCTGCTTCCTCAGGAGCCAGAAGTTCAAGTGCTCGGCTCCTTTCTCCTGAAGACTTAAGACCCAGGAGTTCCTGCTCTCCCTGGTCTACGGTCTCCCCTGAACAGAGTTGGTCCCCGACTTGCCTTCTCTTGGCCCCTGGGTCTCTGCGATGACCCAGGAGTCTGCCTGCCCCTCTTTCTTCCTTGCTGGGACCCAGGAGCTCAGGCATCTGTCCCCATGGACTCTCTGGGGCCCAGGAATTCAGACTCCAAGGCTCTGAGACATTTGGACCTGGCTCCAAGCTGGTTTCCTCTCTCACGATCCAAGTGTCCATTGCCCCCCCCCCCCCCCCCCATGCCCCTAGGTGTCTGAGACTGTTTACGGAAGTAGAAAGCCCAGTCTTTCTCCCTCGGAGCTGCTAGTGGTTTCGAACTGGTGACCATGTGGATCACAGAGCAATTACATTACTCCACCAGGGGGTCCTACCACCTCCGTTAAATGTCCCATGAGGTGCAAGATCTAGGAGTTATCAGGGAACAAGTGGCTAAGGGCTGGCACAGAGGACAGAAGGCCGAGGCAGACCTGATGGGTCTGGGATGAGTGTGGAGGGACGGGAGACAGAGGGCTGGGTGGCAGGGGGTGCAAAGTCAGGGTGGGAAAGGGGTAGGCAGAGGGGGCAAGGCTGAGGTTTGCGGAACTGGGTGGCTCCATCTTGTAGGAGTGAGTGGTGGTTTGAAGCAGGATGGGGGTGGGGGGACGTGGCTCACCAAGGAGGGCACAGTTTGTGACGGCCCAGCAGTAGGCGTAGAAGCACTCTTCCAGGGCCCGGGGGAAGGGGGCCTCGGGGGCCAGAGAGTAGTCAATGGAGAGGATGGGGGTGCCCAAGTCCTGAGCCCAGCTCTTGAGGTAGGGCTCGTGAGACTTGGAGGTCTGGGCCACAAAGCCACCACCGTGGATGTGTATCACCAGGGACCGTGAGCGGGGGGCGTTCGGGGGCCGAGGCCGCAGCTCCAGGCTCCAGGGGCCCTCCGACTTCACCAGCTTGTTGAGCTCCTCGCTGTCCTGGGGGAGGCGGGGAGGGGGAAAAGGAGGTGTGCACAGGTGGGCTTGGCCCTTACACCACTTCTAGTAGGCATGCTCAGGGGGCAGCCTGGGGTGCAGGGAGCTGGGGTGTGAGCAGGACAGGTGCCTGGGGTTGCCCTGCCTCCTGGGCTCAGCAGCCGAGGTGGGGCCCTACCTGTCCTTCCCTAAGGTCGTAGGAGATGAGCCGGACGAGGACAGGCCCCGGCCCCGTGTGGGCCAGCGGGGGCGAGATGGTGACGGTGAGCTTGGGGTCAGCAACCAGTGGCATCTCAAAGGCCTTGGGAGGCAGGCTGAGGAGGCGGCTTATCCTCACGTTGGCAGATGCCATGCTGGCCAGAGACTGGTGGGAGGGACCAGGGGGCGGCTGGGTGGGAGCTGCCCCTCACACAGCCCCTCCCGCGCTCTCCTCTGGACCTCCGTCTGGGTCTGTAAGGAGTCGGGGCCACAGCGGCCCCCGCACTCACCGACAGCACCTCGATCTCCGTGATGTTCCAGAAGGCCTTCCAGAAGTGCACGTCCAGGTTCTGTGTGATCCGCTCAAACTCCGCCCCGCGCAGCTCGGGGTCGATGGCGAAGCGGCCGCTGGTGAAGAGGGAGCTGGCGGTCACACCTGGGGGTCAGCAGGAGTGTCAGGGAGTCCCGAGTGGCGTGCCAGGCGCCAGCGGTGAGGCGGGGGCAGGGCCCGACGGACTCACCGAGGCCCGTCTCGTTGCGCTTGTAGTGCTCCCCGAAGGACACCAGCCCGATGGCGATGGTCTGCAGGAACGGCCGGATGGCCGGCGTGAACTGCGGGCAGACGTGGGGTGGGGGTGGGGGTGGGGTCACGCTTAGTGAGCACCAGGGACGAGCCCCGGGGTGCTGGGGGCTGCTTTCGTAGCAGCAAGGTGGCTGGAGAAAGAGGAGGCCGTCTGCTCCTGTAGGATTGACAGGCAGGGACACCCACAGGGGCAGTTCTACTCTGTCCTATAGGGTCTTTGTGAGTCAGAAGCCACGCTCTGTGGGTTGCCGAGCCGGTAACTCTTCATGGGAGTAGACAGCTTCCCCTCCTTCCCCCCAGTGGAACAGCTGGTGGTTTCAAACTGCGGACCTTGTGGTTAACAGCCCCGTGTATAAGCACTACCCCAGCCAGACCCCCTAGCTCAATCAATAGCCGTGGTTGCTGATATGGTTGTATGCCCGTCCCTGTTGGAGGTGTCCTTATGGAGCTGATGCTCTCGAAGGGAAAAGCAAGAAGACAGACTCCCTCCCATTGGCGGAGTGGGTTACATGCTGGGCCGCTAACCACAACAAGGTCAGCAGTTCACAACCACCAGCTGCTCTGATAGAAAAAGATGAGGCTTTCTACTCCTATAATGAGGTACAGCCCAAAGAAAAAGAGATTCTACCCTCCCACCCCCAAATCAGGTTAACAAGACTCGTTATGATTGTTATATGCTACCAGAGTTCTTGAAGGGGAAAATAAGCCAGAACGGAACTCACTGCTATCAACAGCAACCCTACAGGGCAGCGCACAACTGCCCCGTGGGTTTCTGA